TCTATGTTAAACTACTCCTAAGATAAGGAAAATGACAAGAAATATTGAAATCAATTGTCTTTCTTCAATAAACATCCATGTATCACAATGTGGCCATTAATGGCTATTTATAGAGGAAAAAATACAGCAATAACTACTTAGTAACTACCCATTTCTTCCATCTTCATTCTTGTCTTGCCATGTGTCCTTCCACTCATCCACTTTGTCCTCCCACTCATCCACTTTGTCCTTCATATTCTCCATTATCTCTATAACTTCTTTTAACTTCCAAATGAATAAGAGGATGCCACGTGTCCTGCAATTATATAAATAATAAATAATAATAAAAATTACAAATTTATGGTGTTAACATATTTATATTTCACTATAAAAATATAAAAAAATGTACCAAATGGTTGTTGCCAAACAAGTATCAATGCAGATAAACGAATCGCCTTCGATATTTAAAATAAAGAATTGACTTTACTTTGTTAAGTCAAGCTTCCATTGTCATTCCAATTATTGGTCTCTAAAAATTGATACAATTCTCCCATTAATTTGTCTAACTTATAAGACTCTTAAAATGTAACTAGTTAATAAAGATTTAGATAAAATGTGTATCTTGCCTATGTGATTTGAGCTTCTTTATGTGTCGTAATGATTCTCCCTAGTTAAAATGTAATTTGAGCTTCTTAAAATGTAACGATTCTCCCTAATTAATTTGAGCTTCTTAACTAGTTAAAATGTAACGATTCTCCATTTTTTATTTTTTATTTTAAGATTAGAAGGCATCAGACTTAATATATTACACATCCGATAATAAGTCATCAAATAAAAATATATCAAAGTATAAAATAGATTTCAAAAGAGATGAAGAGAACCTCTACATAAGGAGGACACAAGACTCCACATAAGGAGAAAAACAAATCTCCATGCAAGGAGAAGAAAATTTCCATGAAAGGAGAAAGCTTGTACATAGAGATATATTATTTCAACACAAAAAAAATAAAGCGATCACCACCAAATAAACAATACCAATCACCTTCGTGATCCATTCATCATTGCAACCAGTACTTTTGATACTTTAATCCCCGCCTCCATATTACAAAATAAAATATTCTGAATCTGCAGTAGTCGCCTAGCGTATAACAACACATTTAATAACATCGGATCTCGGTTATAAATCAGATTTGAGTTTAGATATGAAAGGTTCTTCAGCGGCAAGCTGATGAAAAAGACAAGAGGAGTGGTAGTGGCTAGCATGATGATAGAAATTGAAGGAGAAGAAACCAAAATGGAGAGGAAGGTTAAAAACGCCACCCTCCCTCCTAAAGTGCAAAGAAAGAGAGAGCGGCAAAGATTTCTTAGATAGAGAAAGGAATAGTGTTTCTTACGTAAACCACACCGTTAAATGAAAGACAAAAGTTTTATGTGCCTTAGGTTTAGATAAGGAAAGTCCTGTGGTACACACTCCCTCCAAATTGGCGTACCATATGCACTTTATCACAAATTGGTGTAAATTTATTATAAAATTTCGTAACATCAATCACAGAATGCGTAACCTCGTCACAAATTAGATTAGCAAAAAATGTCGTAGGTAAGCCATAAGCTTTTGTTAGATGATAAACTATAAAATTTTGGACATTTTATTTATTATGCTAATTTGTGGCGAGATTGTGCATTTTATGGTTGATATTACAAAATTTGTAATAAAATTATACTATTTATAGTGGGGCGCATATGGTACATAATAGGATTTTTGCTTTAGCCTTCATTTGGCATGCCAAACTTTTTGACTTTTTGGTTATTTTAGCCACAAAAAGAAAAAATAAACTTTTTAGCTCAATAAAATAAAATATCACATCCAAACCATAATCATTTTATTTTTTCTTTCATAAAAGTCAAAAAAGCCAAAAAAACCTATCCCAAATGAGACTTTTTAGCCCTAGGCTAAAATAGCTAAAAAGTCAAAAAGTCAACCCACATCCCAAACAAATTGGATATTTTGAAAGTACGGTCACATTGTGCTTCATGGTATTATGATTAATAAAGAAGGTACGGTATTATGATTTTATTTTGGGTGATTGAGAAATGCTAAGAAGTATGATAAATAATAATTAATGAAAAAATATGAACACGTGATATTTTAGGAGTACCAAATATTTTTCCTAGATGAAAAGCCTAAAAATCTTCCCCATGATTTGATTTTATTGATGTGTAATCCTCGAATTTGATTATTATTCAATAAAATCATCCTTTTGCCAATTAAAAACAGATAAAAATTGATCTAAATGTCACATGTTTTGATGAAAAAAAAAAAAATCTTATAACTACGTATAAATTGATAATAAAATCGGAAATATTTCTTCATAGGTATTGACTTTTTGTTTTTGTCTTTGTTTTTGCTCACGTCTATATGGAGAACTTTATTATACATATTTTATATATTATATACTTTTAGTTATGTTATTTTTTTTTAATTATGATCAATTTTCTTATTTAATTATGACATTATTTTGAGATCTTTAATTATGACTATTTTATATTTGATTATAATTTTTTTTAAATTATGACTAAAAAAGAATAAAATTATGTTATTTTCTTTTATAATTATAAGTTCATTTCTTATATGAAAATGTGATTGGTATTGTATCACTAAGACTTGTTTGGGATGATCTAAATCAGTAAATTTTTTGAATTTTTTTATGAAAAAATGTATAGAAAAATAGAGAAATGATATGACTAAAAAAGGATAAAAAAATAAAAAAGTATAAATCTAACTTGTTTTGAGAAATATGTTAAAAGATAAAAACAAACCTAACTTGTTTTGGAAAGTCGGTTAAATGTTAACTTTTTGATTTTTTTGATTTTTTATAAAACAAAATATGTAAAAAAATAGAGAGGTGGTGTGATTCGAAAAAGCTAAAAAGTCAAAAAACTGATTTTTAGCCATGTTCTCAAAATAGACAACTTTTAATTTTAATAAAAAAGTAAAAAAATTATTATAAATTATCACATAACTTTTTTTTTAGATATCTTTCTGTTAAAAAACAAAAATTTATTAAAATAATTTGTTTCCAGAGAGGCCATAGTGTACCCCAATCAGCTTGTTTGATTCTGGTTTTCAAAAAATAGTTTTTAGAAAATTTTACTTTTTTATTTTTTATATTTTAATGTTTTCAATGACTTTTTTTTTAATATTTGAAGCAAAATTTTTTTAAAATTTTTTTAGACATACCTAACATAAATACATTTAAAAAGTATAATATTTGTGAAAAAAATCTTTAAAAAATACACTAAATACCAAAAAATATGAAACAAAAAATATATAAAAATTCAGTACATTTTTCGTATTTTTGTGTATTTAATTAATTTTTTAAAAAAATTTTCACAAATATTTTACTATTTAGATACATCTAATCTAAAAAAAAGTAAAAAATTGCTTAAAATTTAAAAAAAAATCACTAAAAACAAAAAAATACGAAAAATAAAAAATTCAGTTTTCAAAAAATTGAAACTAAACATGCTGAGGGACAATTTGGGAAGAAGCTAAAAATAGTTTTTTAGCTTTTTTGTTTTTTACGCTTTTTTGTTTTTTTACACAAAAAAATAAATAAATATAAAAAGCCAGTTTTTTTACTACAAAAAAGCCAAAAAATTATCAAAAAAGAAAAAGTTAAAATTAATTTTTTACCAACTTTTCAAAACATGACTAATAGTGTCTAGAATTGTTTATTATTTTTTTTTGAACTCCCTAGAAGTATTCATTAAAATAGTAGTCTTATCTCAAGAGAAATGGTGGTGCTGGAGATTAATAATGTATATACTAGTGTACCAGTTAGTGTACCAGTTAGTGTTATATTATTATTACTGACCTCACTTATTATATAAATTATAAATATTTAAAATTTTTAAAATTATGTCACATCATTAATTAATATATGCATTAATTAATTTACATACTAATATTTTAACTAGTGTTATGCCATTATTACTGAACTCACTTATTATACAAATTACAAATATTTAAAACCTCTAAAATTATACAATATTATCTATTAATATATTAGTTAATACATATAACATTATTTTAAGAAAACAATGATATTACATACACTAATTAATATATATAAATATATCAATTAATATTATATCATTATCATTTATCCCACCTATTATACAAATTATCACAAATACTTATCACCACTAAAATTATCGTTGCGTTTGCTGCTTTCTTGCTCTAATCATTCTTTTGCTTTCCTCTCTCAATCATTTTACTGTGTCTTCGAATTTATTCACCATGTCGTTGACCACCCCTTCTTCATCGTCAACATCTGAGATCACCAGTCTTCCCAATCCCACCATAACCATGGAACTTCAAACATCCACCATCTCCAACCCACTGCCTTCAATGGCTTCTTCCAAATCCAATTGTTGCCCTCTTCCATTCGCAACCAGGCGTTCAACCTCCGAACCCACACCAAATCCACCCACAACCACTCCTTCAACCCCCCGCAACAACACCCATGAGCATACTCTCCAATTGCGCGATCTAATTACCAAGGATCTCGATTACATCAAGAAAGCCTCTGAAGATCTCAAGAAAGCCTCTGACGATCTCGACCAGTATGGAACTCGCGTCAAAACCCAAATCGAATCTGTCTCCACAACTCTGAATAGCCTCAAAGAAGCAGAAACTCCTCATGAGGACTCCATCGAAACGGATCTTCAAGAAGAGCTTCGCGAATTGAAGAAGGGTGTGACGAAACTGAAGCTTCTAATCCCATCCAAGTACAAGCCTCAATCTGGGTCTGAGTCCGACGCCAATAAGAATCAGCGGGCTAATGATCTTTCTTCTGCTCAGGAAAGGTTACTTCGTGCCCGCAAGGGGTCCGACAAAATGCCTGACTTGTGCAAGAACAAAACGTTTGAGAATAGCTTGGAATTTAAAGATTTTAAAGCACTTTATGATGGACTTGACATCCAAAAAAAGGTTTGTCTGTTGTGTTTTTCTGTGTTCCCAGAAAACCAAATCATAAAGAAGAGGTTTATGCTGTATTGGTGGATCGGAGAGGGTTTTGTAAGTCCAATTCCGGAGAGTAACAGAGAAGCAGAGGACTTGGCGAATGAGGTCTTCAATGAACTTATGTTGAAGGGATTCATTGAACCCATCAGCGAAAAGCGCGGCCTTGGAGTGAGCAGATGCAGGATGCACCCTTTGGTTCGTGCTGCTGTGGTTATACTTGCAGACAAGGCTAAGCTCTTTGATTTTGATCTCAAAGGGAACCCTACTGGGAACTTTTCTTCATCTCTTTGGGCATGCTTGTTAAAGGCAGAGAAGTTGAAGGACAGTGAGGAATTGGAAAAAGTTCATATCTTGTTCAATGTTGACGAGACTATTCTTGAATTTGAAAAGCCCGAAATGTTTGCCAAGATGAAAAGCATCAATGTTTTTTGTTTGGGAAGGTGGCAGACATCCCCAAAGCATCACATCGAGGTTGAGGACACTAAATTCTTGGAGGGGTTGAAAAACATGAGGCATCTCAGGTTCCTCAGCCTCCAAGGTATCTCGAGAATTATCGAACTTCCCGATTGCATTTCAAGCCTCGTCAATCTGAAGATCCTGGATCTCCGAGCCTGTCACAACCTTGAAGAGATTCCAAATGAAATTGGCCAACTTAACAGTTTGACACACTTGGACATGTCAGAATGCTACTTGTTGGATAACATGCCCAAGGAGCTTTCGTCTCTCTCGGAACTTCAAGTTCTTAAGGGGTTTGTAGTTGGCGATTCCAAGGGAAAAAACTCATGTACCCTTCAACATTTGGCAAAGTTGCCGAAGTTGAGGAAATTGAGCATCTACACGGGCCGCAAAGACTTCCCTAACGAGGCAGAGTTAAGAGATCTCAACAAATTTAACATGCTTCGCAAGCTAACAATAGCATGGGGCGGTGGTTCACAAGGTAAATCAGACAATAATGCTAAGCCAGAGAAAAATGCACAAAAGTCAACAGTAGCAAAGGCCACAGCAGAGCACCAGGATCCGGAGAATGGAGGTAATGACATAGAACATGACAATGCTGGCGATGCAGCAGAATCACAGGCGCCAACAGCCACGACGAAACCAAATTTATCAAAAAAAATTCCGAAGATGAGAAAAGGAAGGGATGTGTTAGATTATGCTCCTCCAGAGCTTCCAACCCACTTGGAGAAACTTGATCTCAAGTCTTTCCCCGAGACATATGCTCCCAATTGGCTTAAGGCTAGCAAACTGAGCAACATAAAGAAACTTTACATTAGAGGAGGGATACTTGGTGATCTGGGTCAATTTCAGCTGGAAAAGTATGAGTGGGAAGTTGAGATATTGCGTCTGAAGTACTTGAACGAATTAGAGATGGATTGGACTGAATTGCAGGAATTATTTCCGAACTTGAGTTACTTGGAGAAAGAAAAATGCCCGAAGCTCACGCTATTCCCATGCGACGGGCATGGAGTGTGGATGAGAAATCCAAAGAAATGGAAGCAATTGTAATGTCATCATGAACAAAGAAAATTATCTGTGTGCGGGTAATGTTCTTAATTCAAATTTGTTTACTGTTTCTTTATCTTTGTAATTTAATGGAGTTTAGAATGTGGAGATAACCTCTTCTTGCCTCAGTGAAACTGCTGGTTAGAGTGGATTGTTTGTTCTTTTTCCTTTGAGATCCTGAGTTATGTTCATATTTCACTCACCCCATGGTGTTCCAAAATGTTTCATAATGCCAATCACCAGTTTTAGTTGGTCTTATGTTATGGTCTTCCTATCTTTGTAGTTGGCTGTCCAATTTGGGTTATAATTATGGCAATGGTATACAACTTTTTTCACTATTCAATTTTCATATAATGCTTGACCTACATAGTTAGGATTTTCATTTTAAGTGATTATATTTTCATTTTAATGTATTTTATTAGTTGATATAATTTACATAAATAAAAAATGTATTTGAATGATTTTACAATAAAAAATAACAAATTAAATTTACGACTAATCGAAAATTAAATCAATGACATGAGTTTTACAGCATAATATGCAAAATAATTGTGACTCGCTTTATATATTGTAAGAATTTTTGCAAAAAATTAGGGGCTGTTCTATATAAATTGTATAAATACTCAAGAACTCTAGGGATGGTATGATTGTTTCGAAAACTTAAGAATGGCAACCCCAAACCGATATTTAGCTCCGTACTTGGATCTCATATCTTGTGCAATAGCATATGGTCCTTGCCTTATTCAATAGTTTAGCTCCCATATCAAATAGAAAATTATATACAAGCCTACTTTCTAGACCTACTCTCTAAAAAGTAGAATAAGAGTATGTATGAATAGCATTACTCTATCAAATAAGAGTAGTAGTTATGAAATGAGTGAATCGACCTAATTATCTTAGTTGACTGGGTGAGACAATAATGACCTCATTTATCCCGTTTGCATATGGTCTCATTGATTGGAAATATTACATGCACATCAGAATTGTACAATTGTTAGTTATTTGGAGAATTCTTAATCACGTGAAATCAATTCAAACACAAGCCTGTGACATACCATTGCCCACAAAATCAATCATATATATGGAGGCATTGTCTTATGTCTGTTATTCATGGTTTTAAGCCCATACATAGATCTAAGCTACAATTTCTCTCATCCAAAACCAAGTCTTTGTACGTGAGTGAAAAACACTGATAAATCCCACAGCTCTCACAACTGGATCTTATAGTTGAAATGGCTCAGAAATAAACAGTTACTAATGCCCTTGATGAGATATCGTATAATTGTTACAATTTTTCATCGGCTACCAATGGTTAAGTATGCAAACTGTGGAACGAGCTGCGAACTTAGGGTTGGTTTGACATAAATTAAATAATACAAAAAGTTAAAAAGTTACTATCCTATTTAAGTCACATCATCTTATTTAAATCACATCACCTCTCTAACACATCACATCAAACCCAACCCATATAAGCCAATAAGTCAAAAAGTATACTTTTTTAGAACATCCCAAACCAACCCTTAGACTCGTATAGTCTTCCAGGCTTACATCCAATGTTTCTGTAACATGATGTCAAAGTGATGACACTAACCTTAAAACCTAGTAGTCCCTTCTCAGTACGTCCATTGTTTCTCTAGCATGATGTCAAAGTGGTGGCACTTCAAGAAATTGTTTTGTCTGATTAGATAAATCACTGTTTCCGACCCAACTTAGATCACAAGTGTCGGGTGATTCGCATATGCTCAACAATCGTGCCTATTATCAGATAAATCACTGTTTCCAACCCAACTTAGATCACAAGTGTCAGGTGATTCGCATATGCTCAACAATCGTGCCTATTAGACCCCCCCCTTCTTTTTCTCCAACTTATTTAACACTTCTAGCAAAGTTGAGGGCTAGCTTGAAGTGTGTGACTAAAGCTTGCAATAAATTACTGAGCCACAAAGACAAAATGAACAAATCATCAATTCTTACCAGTGGAGTGACAGGGGCATTACACGAAAATTTTCTCTAGGAGGTTGCCGCTTATCTTGTCAATCCCAGAGAACGCTTTTCCCACATCATGTCCTATGAGAAAAATGTTGACTATTCCATTTTATTTGATGAAGAAACCAAAATCTTGATGGTGCAGTTATGCAATTGAACAAAATTAATTAATAAATGGTTATGTTTACTCAATGTTAAAATGCACAAATAAATTATCTTCAAAAAGTTGCTGCTTTAATTGATCAATCCTTTCACATATATTCATCTCAATAAGATCCTCACATAGCTTTTAAGCAACAAAATCCCACAAATAGGTAAATACTAGACAGCCAAAGACAAGCAAGCAAATACATGAGAAGATATATCACCAGTTTGTGAGCTCTGCAAAAATGTAAAAGAATCAAATACTGTTGTTTACGCTGGTGGTTAAAAGAAAAGACCATGCATATTTATGATTCCATTTGTTGCAGATGCTTATCTCATTGTATCCTTCATCCACACTCCACTCATCTCATGGGAAGAGAGCGAGTTTCGGGCAATTTATCTTCTCCAAGTAATTCAATTTTGGAAATTATACCTGCAGTTTACTCCAATCCATCTCCAAGTCAGTCAAGTACTTTAGACGCAATTCTTCAACCTCCCACTTGTCCTTCTCCAACTCCATGTTGTCGAGTTCTAGAAATTGACCCATATTAGAGAACTTACCTCCTCTGATGTAGACTTTCTTTAAGTTCTTCAGTGTGAAAGACGTCAGCCAACGAGGTGTAATCCTTCTTAGGGAAACACTGAAGGTCCAATTTGATCAGTTCTGAGGGAAGCTCTGCATTTGACACACATGCTCGCTTAAACGCAAATGTTCTTGCCAGAGTACTTTTGAGACCCACTTTCTTGATAGCTCCGGTTCCTTGTTCTGCTGCAGTATTGTGTTTATTTTTGTCATCATATCTTTTCACTTGTACAGAGCCCCTTCCCCATGCGATTGTCAGCTTGGTAAGAGCTTTGAACTTATTTAATGCACACATATCTATGTCTGAGGAAACACAATGACGCTAGTGTGAGTGCTCAATTTTCTCAGCTTTGGCAATTTCAGCATATCATCAAGGCTGCATGAGCTCTTACCCTCTAAATCTCCAACCACGAACCCACTGAGGACTTGGAGTCTGTAGAGTGATGCAAACCCCTTGGGCATCTGATCTAGCAGGTAACACTCGGACATGTCCAAGTGTGTTAAATTCTTGAGCAACCCAATTTGATTGGGAATTACCTCAAGGTTGTGACAAGCTCTAATGTCAAGGATCGCGAGGTTCCTGAGCTTTGAAATGAACCTGGGAAACTCTCTAACTCTGGAGATTCCTTGAAGGCTCAAAAACCACAGATGTGTGACATTTTCCAAACCATCCAATACATTTGCATTTCTTTTCTTCATAATCGCAGTATCCTCAACTTTGATGTGATGCGTGGGCGAGGTCTACCACCTTCCCAAGAAAGAACATTGACATTTTTCATCTTTGAAAACCATTCAGGCTTGAAGTCGAGAATAGTCTCATTAACATTGAACAATGATTGAAGCTTTCCCAAATCCTAAATATTTGTTAATCCTTCACCTTTCAAGCATGCCCGGAGAGAACAAGAGTCGTTCTCACTGCTGGAAATCCGGCTTTTAGTGACGTTTTAAAAACGCCGCTATATCTATAAAAAACGCCGCTAATTCATTTTGTGGCGTTTACTACCAAACGTCGAAGCTGCGGGCGTCGCTGTAGCTTTGCGAAGTTTAAAAACGTCGTGATATTAGTATAGGAGGCGTTTTGAAAAACGCCGCCAAATGTCCCACCATACACACGCTGACGTCACCAATGATATTTAGCGACGTTTTGGAAACGCCGTCGTATCTGTTTGAAAAAAGTGACCGGCGAGGGTTTAGGAGGCATTTGTAGAAACGCCGTCATATCTCTCTCTCTTTTTTTTTTTTTTTTTTTTTTTTTGGGGGGGGGGGACAAAATTGTGTTAATTTTATTTGATTAAATTAAAAAAAATACCTATAATAAAACTAACATATAAAATATTAACTCCCATTCAAACACCTGTAATGAAACTAACATATAAAATAATAACTCCTATTCAAATAACAAATGAAGCATTAATTCAATTTCTCATTCAATTAATATTCAATCACCATTACCCACAAAATAACATATATCCAAAAATCATATTTTAACATTAATAACAAACTAACATATATCTAAAAATCACAGCGCACCAAAAGATTCTTTCCCAGTAGAATATTGCCAATGTCTTCTATTTCTAGGTTCTTATCTGATTCTAGTATGTCTTTAGAATATGATGAATACAAAATCACAATCCATTCCAAGATATTAATACATAGCTGGAAGTACATCCTTCTTTTCCTCTGAAATATTTCACCTTCTCAGCAAACAACTGAAATACATCCTTCTTGGCAGCTTGTTTCTGAAATTATGATAAAAAATTAGAAAACAAAACAATAACTCATAACTCAAATTATTCATGATCTATGATAATAGAAGATACCAAATCAGCCAAAATAAAACATTCTCCAACAAACAGTTCAGCACATTCACTAGACATACATGATACACCAGTGTCAAGCATGAATGCATTGTGACAAACTATTTTTTAGTCACATAGGAGGAAACTGATTACTACATGTTTCTGCAGTGATAGGAAAAGAAGAAACAGATCTGGAGACTGTGCTTGGAATTTATGCCTTTTGATTGAAAACTTGCATTTAACTCCTCAGGTGACTCAAATTAATGTGTATCTTTCACTGTTTTTGTTCTCATTACTCCTCAGGTGACTCAAATTAATGTGTATCTTTCACTGTTTTTGTTCTCATTACTCCTCAGGTGACTCAAATTAATGTGTATCTTTCACTGTTTTTGTTCTCATTACTCCTCAGGTGACTCAAATTAATGTGTATCTTTCACTGTTTTTGTTCTCATTACTCCTCAGGTGACTCAAATTAATGTGTATCTTTCACTGTTTTTGTTCTCATTACTCCTCAGGTGACTCAAATTAATGTGTATCTTTCACTGTTTTTGTTCTCATTACTCCTCAGGTGACGGGAAGGAAAAAAAAACTAAAATAATAAAAGAATAATAATAATACTTGACCAAAAAAATAATAATAATAATTGTCCTATAGCAACACTACGTTAGGTAAGGGTTATTAGAGCATAATAAGATATATCTTTAGATTTATCTCACAGAGGCTGCCGAAATGAGGCTTAGAACCTTCTGAAGGATGCCAAGCATAGAGAGAATTTTGGCTATAGAAAATAAAACAAAATCACTGATGCACACATCATAAAATAGTAATTAAAATAAGTGACGACCTTTGAAGTGGAACATATCACACAGTGAGATGATTTAGGCTAAATTAGATTGTTCAAGAAAAGTAAATTTGTTAATGACTTGTAGAGTACCTTATGAAGAAAAATAAGTACTCACGAAGTCGCTAAGAAAATGGCAATACCTCAATCTCAGTAGCCTTGAAATCCTCTTGTAAAACAGATTGCAGTGCAGAAATCACAGTCTACAGAATAAAAGTAACTTTGCAATATTAGAACCACATAATTCTGAAATTAATATATCAAACTTGAGACAAGTAAACAGTCCCCAAGAAGAAGATTTATGGAAATCAAATTAGAAGTGCAGACAAGTTATTCGCATTAGCAGCATTAGAAGCTTTACGGCTTGACCAGAGTAAGATAAAAACAGTATGTTGGGATCAAACTTGTGAGTCTTATTAATGCATAGCCCATTTTTTACTTTACCAGTAAAAGGCATAATTCTCTGTTTAAACATAAATGTTCAAAAAAAAAAGAAAAAAAGAATAGAATCGAATAGGCAATGAGAGAAACCATACCAAATAAAAAAACATTATAATTATTGTTGTAGATTATCTAAACGAAAAAGAAACCGCATCCTGTCCATTTTCTGTTTCACTAGAAACTCCCAGACACTAGAAACTCCAAAAGCTAGTTGATATATGATGAAAGAATTTAGTCAACCCCTTTTTCCAGGATACAAATGCAATGAAATTCTTAGCTGTGTTGTGGTGAGCATGGTGGCTAAACTTCCAAAAGCATCACATGTTTTAATGATCTATTACTTAGAAACACTTGTACATAGCCCAAAATGCATAATTCGAAGCGATAAATATACAAATGTGTTGTGGTGAGCATGGTGGTGAAAGCCACATAAAGTGTAGCATTTGCAGATGTGTTGATTTGGAGGATGAGGATGGCATTTGCATTCCTGTGGCATTGCCTGTGCTCCCATGTCCAGACCGCACCAGTAACTATGGGGTAAAGGAGATTCGGAAACAATTAACAAAAGTGTTCATTTATTAACTTTATTAAAAATGAATAGTAATGAAAGCACTTTTTCTTTTTTCTTTTTTTTTCAAAGAAGACATTGAATTGATGAGAATTTTGAGGAAGATAACACAACTCTTATTACTATTAATCATTTTTGGCACCAACACTTATTTGTATCCTTATGAATAAAGGCGGCTATGGTAATCTCTTCACAAAGAGACTACAATTTACATTCTTCTATCAGACACGTAAAGAAGCAAAGCAGAGGATACACAAATTGTTCAAATATCAATATCTATTACTGTCTGTAAAAAAAATTATGCAAGAAATTGAATTAAGCTAGATTTTTTCTCAATATTGAATACAAAATCACAATCCATTCCAAGATATAATGAACTGTTCTATATTTTAGAATTCAAAATAATAATAATCATAATGTAAACAGATATTCTACCTAAATATCTAAGCTACACTGATTGATCAATCCAAACTGATGCTAATTTAGGGTAATAAAAAAACAGAGATTAAAATTTAACATGCTAGGAAAATTCAACATGCTAATTTAGGGAAAAAAAACAAGCGAATCTGAAGCGATGGTGCTCACCTTGGTAGATGATGGTGCTCACTTTCCTCGCTGAACGAATCTGAGATTGAATCACCGAGCTTTGAAATCGAGAGAGAACTTCGGAATCGCCGAACGAATCTGAGATTGAATCACCGAGCTGAAGAAGGTTGAATTTCGAAATCACGTTCAATCGATCAATAGATCTTCAATCGATCGATCTGATCTAGATAAAACCTAGCAAACCTGAATCGAATGATTCCATCAGTAAGTATCATCTTCAATCGAACTTGACTGTGAGAAGATAGAGATAAGACTGATCAACACTTACCATGAAGAAAGACCTGCGAACTCGAACATGAACTAGAGATAGAGATAAGACTGATCTGCGAATCGATGATCTATGAATACTTCAATCGAATAAACGAAGAGGTGAATCGAATACTTGAAGAGAAGGGTTGCAGATTAATCGATTACTAAATGAAGGGGTTTGAATCGAGAGAAACGAAAGGGTTTGAAGCAAGAGAGAGTGAAATCACGGGTGTAGTGAATCTTCTTTGATTTAAGCTTCGATGGATCTGAATCAGGTTTTGTTCAGATCGGGGCTTCGATCTGAATCTTCTTTGATTTAAGCTTTGATGGAGCTTTGATGGAGAGGGTTGAGAGAGAGAGATCTGTGCGCATGTATTAAGGGTTGAGAGATCTGTGCGTATGTAGGCTCTGATTCAAAATAAGGTTTTCACAAAAAGGGGCGCGTGTGGGTCACCACATTTGGAGGCGTTTTTAAACGCCTCCCATTATAAAACGGTGTCGTTTTGTTTAATAGAATATGCGGCGTTTATAAAACGCCGTTAAATACTAATAACAGTGACGTTTACAGAAACGTCGTTAACAAAACGCCACCAAATCCCCCTTTTCCTGTAGTGTCTCTTTTGCAGTACCCGCTTCATCAAAATCAAAGAAGTCCGTCCTTTTGGCAAGCTTAATCACCATAGAACGAACAACATGGTGCATCTTGCATATGTCCACTCCAAGTCTACTATTTTTGCACACGGGCTCAATGAAGCCCTTTGCAATAAGCTTGTTGAAGAACTCATTGGCAAATTGCTCTGGTGTGAAACTACTTTGTCTTCTTCCAACGGGATGTACAAAGCCCTCTCTCATCCACGAGTATATCATGACCCTCTTCTTTATTTCAACATTTTCCGGGAAAACTGAAAAACATAGAAGACAGAGCCTCAACTCCATCTTGAGCTGACAGTAACATGTCTCAAATTGTTCAAAGTCCAAGCTTTGCTCAATCACCTTGTTCTTGTCTGCATTGGCTCCATTGATGTTTGCCGAGCCATCGGATTCATCAGGCTCATCCTTGTGCTTGGAAGAGATCTACTGCATCAGTTTCTTCACCATCTTCTTCAATTCCCTGTACTCACTCGTTTTTGGGCTTTCTTTAGTTGCCATTTCTTTCATTTCTTGTTTAATTGTAGTTTCCTCTATTCACTTTGTTCTTTTATTGCAAAAGGTCTTGTGGCCTAGTAGCTAGCATGAGAGTAACACATAAGTGTCTGCAATGAGAGTGGGGTTCAACTTAGGGGTGTTCAAATTACCAGTGAACCAAACAAATAATTAGCAAAGTTTGGGTTGAAATTCTTTCACACACTGCCTATCGTTGCAGAGCAACTACCCAAGCAGAACAACTGAGTAAAGGTGGGCAACTCATCGCTGTGGTTTGGTTGCTAATGTCTCATTTGGGCTTAGAGGACCGATCTCAAATGCCTAAAGTCCACAATTGGGCATCATTGTGGGGAAGTAGCTGAATTGATTTGTTGTATCAATCAAATGTAGATGTGTGCTTGTTTTATTTGGGAAATCTTTTTGTATTTGATCACTATCAATTATAAATGGACATGTATGAATTTGGAGAACTTATTTTTGGATTCTATCACTCAGATTTTAAATTTGCCATATAAATTAAATATTTGTCACCTACTAATTTACATTTTACTCATTTGATTCCTCCAGAGCTTCCAACCCACTTGGAGAAACTTGATCTCAAGTCTTTCCCCAAGACAAATGCTCCCAATTGGCTTAAGGCTAGCAAACTGAGCAACATAAAGAAACTTTACATTAGAGGAGGGACACCTGGTGATCTGGGTCAATTCCAGCTGCAAAAGTATGAGTGGGAAGTTGGGATATTGCGTCTCAAGTACTTCAACAAATTAGAGATGGATTGGAGTGAATTGCAGGAATTATTTCTGAATTTGAGTTACTTGGAGAAAGAAAAATGCCCGAAGCTCATGCTATTCCCATGTGATGGGCATGGAGTGTGGATGAAAAATCCAAAGAAATGGAAGCAATTGTAATGTCATCATGAACAAAGTATATTATCTGTGTGTGGGTAATGTTCTTAATTCAAATTTGTTTACTGTTTCTTTATCTTCGTAATTTAATGGACTTTAGAATGTGGAGATAACTTCTTCTTGCCTCAGTCAAACTGCTGGTTAGAGTGAATTGTTTGTTCTTTTTCCTTTGAGATCTTGAGTTGTGTTCATACTTCACTCACCCCATGTTGTTTCACAATGCCAATCACCAGTTTTAGTTGGTCTTATATTTTGGCCTTCCTATCTTTGTAGTTGGCAATCCATTTTTGTTTAATGGCGTAATATAAGTGTACTAAAAAAAAAAACCAATCTAAACAATATCAATTTGGGTTATAACTATGGCAATGGTATACACTTTTTTTTTTTTTCACTATTCAATTTTTTAAGTGACTAGATTGTCATTTTAATGTATTTTATTAGTTGATATTAGTTGATATAATTTACATAAATAAAAAAAGTATTTGAATGATTTTATAATAAAAAATAACAAATTACATTTATGTCTAATCTAAAATCAAATCAATGACATGAGTTTTACTGCATAATATGCACAATAATTATGACTTGCTTTATATATAGAGGCGTTTTGAAAAGGCAGTAAAAAATCTTTTTTAATTTTTTGACTTTTTTAGATCATATTATTTTTATTTTTTTTTTACACAAAAAAGTTAAAAAGTTACAAAAAAATTAAAAATTTATTTTTTTACCAACTTTTCAAAACACTACATAATATAAGAATTTTTGCAAAAAATTAAGAGCTGCTCTATATAAATTGTATAAATACTCAAGAACTATAGGGATAGCATAATTGTTTTGAAAACTTAAGAATGGGAGCCCCAAACCCATATGTACCTCCATACTTGGATCTTATAACTTGTGCAATAACGTGTTGTCCTTGCCTTATTCAATAGTTCAGCTCCCATATCACATAGAAAATTATATACAAGTCTACTTTCTAACCCACTCTCTAAAATTAGAGTATGTATGAATAGTACTACTCTATCAAATAAGGCTATGTTTGATTCACAACACTAATAGTGAGGTATTAATAATCCTATTAAATTAGTGTGGCATTAGCTATCCCACCCCTACCCCATTACTAATAATCCTACAAATTTGTTAGATTAATTATCCATTGGATTAATAATCCTAAACCAAAATGTCAAAACAAACATAGGATGAATGGGTCCACGGATTAATAATCCCAATCCCATACTTTAATCATTCCAATCAAACATGCCCTAAGAGTATTAATTATGAAATGAGTGAATCGACTTGATTATCTTAGTTGATTGGGTGAGAGAATACTGACTTTATTCATCTCGTTTGCATAGTCTTATTGATTGGAAATATTACGTGCACATCAAAATTGTACAATTGTCAATTATTTGGAAAATTCTTAACCACATGAAATCAATTCAAACACACGCTTGTGGCGTACCATTGCCTACAAAATCATCCATTTATATGGAGGCATTGTCTTATGTCTGCTATTCATAGTTTTAAGTCTATAATTGATCTTTTTGTCATAATTCCTAACATTATTCTAAATTTATTTAATTTTATCCTTATGAAATTTTGTTTTCACAATGTTTGTATAAAAAATTATTTTTAATTAGTTATGTATCAAAACCAGGTCAATTTTTTTTTTTTATACACACATCTTGACCTTTCCTAAACAACATTTCTGATTTCGGCCCTAATTGAAGTATGTGAATTTGAGGGAATAATGGCACAAGAAAAGTCAAAGTAAAAACCATGGATACTCTTGTGTCCCAAAGTGTGTCTACTATTCTTGTCTTTTAATTCAACATTTTTCTTATTCTTATTATTATTTTTTTCTCCGAGCACAAGTTATGTAGACATATTTTTCCTGCTTTTAATTCGTTGGGCTATCTATTTCAACTGATGTAAGAGCATCTCTTAGAGCTAACTATTCTCATATTCCATAATTTTTTCTGTTTTTAAACGCTACCATGTAAATATCTGATAACAAGATAATTTTAAAACATAATTTAACAATTTAATTTATTGAAACAGAAAAAAATAAAAATAATAATAATTGAGAACGGAGGATTGCGTGTATCTCAGGGCAACTTATGTGGTCCCTACTTTCAACACTCATTTACCATGGTTTTAAGGGATAACCCTATGGCCATGTTTCCGTTAGATTATGTATCTTATCTTAATTAATAGTCAAGTTTAAAATAATTAATCCGTATTTTAATTGTTTAACCAAATATCGGATTAATAATTTTATTGGACTATTAGTCCAATCCTAAGCTCATATCTACCCAAACAAACATGACCTATAAGTATGTGCCCTTAAATTTAATTGGTTAGTAAAATCATTATATATATATATATATATATTTGACATGAATAGTGTTATGAATCAATCAAATGTAAGGGAATAGAGAATAAGACATAAAAAAAAAAAAAAAAAACAAAAAGTGATCTTGATTCTCTATGAGCCTTGCCTTAGGTGCTGCTGGCATGCATGGAGTGGGATAGACTATGGAGTTGGCATGTGATCGTCTATCTTCAATTCTTTCTATTTCAAAACATCCACATTTATATGAAATTATCGCACCTTCATATTTTTAATGATTGAATAATTATAAATGTTTTAAGATAATGGCCCTATTTGGGAAATGAATTTTTGTCTTTTTTTAAGATAAAATTCACAAAAAGATTAAAATATGCTAAAATAATCAATAAGATAAAATATGACATCAAACCCATAATCATTTCATTTTTTCTGTTACAAACATTACATTTAATTACAAAAAATCTAACCATATTTCTAAACATAAAAATTTTAACTTATTAAAATAGTTAAAAATTAAAATAGCCTAATAAAATAACCAACATCCCAAACGAGGCTATTGAGACAAGAATTTAGAAAGAGAGGATTGTTGGCCACGTTTAGTGTAATTTTTTTCAAGGTAATTAAAAAAGTAAAAGCCATAAAGAAAAATAAAAAACTAAAAGCACTCTTCTACTAACTTCTTGATAATCATTTAAAAAAAATGTTTAATTAAGTTATTTTTACTTTAGAGTGAGAAGTTGTATGACATAAATTCTTTGAAAAAAAAAGAAAAAAAACCCTTATAAGTAGATCTTGATCGTGTAGTTTTAATTGATGAAGAAACCAAAATCTTGATCGTGTAGTTATGCAATTGAACAAAATTAATAACTAAAATGTTACATTTACTCAATATCTAAATGCACAAATAAATTATCATAAAAAAGTTGCTGCTTTAATTGATCAAACCTTTCACATATATTCATCTAAAAAAGATCCTCACATAGCTTTGAAGCAACAAAAACCCATATACAGCTAAATACTAGACAGCCAAAGAGAAGCAAGCAAATACATGAGAAGATATATCACCAGTTTGTGAACACTGCAAAAGTTACAAAGACGAGGAATTAAGAAACAGAAATGTAAAAGAATCAAATACAGTGTTGTTTACGCTGGTGGTGAGAAGAAAAGATCATGCGTATCTATGATACCATCGGGTGGGAAGTCAGTGAGTTTTGGGCACTTTATCTTCTCCAAGTAATTCAAGTTTGGAAATAATGTCTGGAGTTCGCTCCAATCCATCTCCAAGTCGTTTAAGTACTTCAGACGCAATTCTTTAACTTCCTCCCACTTGTCCTTCTCCTCGTTGTCGAGTTCCTGAAATTGACCCAGATCAGAGAACTTACCTCCTCTGATGTAGAGTTTCTTTAAGTTCTTCAGTGTTAAAGGCCTCAGCCAACTAGGTGTAATCATTCTAGGGAAACACTGAAGGTCCAATTTTATCAGTCCTGAGGGAAGCTCTGCATTTGACACATATGCTCGCTTAAATGCAAATTTTCTTGACAGAGCAATTTTGAGATCCAATTTCTTGGTAGCTGCTGTTCCTTGTTCTGCTGCAGTATTTAAAGAGCCCCTTCCCCATGCGATTGTCAGCTTGGTAAGAGCTTTGAACTTATTTAAAGCACGCAGATCTGTGTCTGAAGGAAACGAATTGACACCAGTGTGAACGCTCAATTTTCTCAGCTTTGGCAATTTCCATAAATCATCGAGAGTGCATGAGCCCCTTGAATCTCCAACCACAAACCCACTGAGGACTTCGAGTTTGGAGAGCGATGCAAGCCCCTTGGGCATCAAATCAAGCAGGTAACACTCGGACATGTCCAAGTGTGTCAAATTCTTGAGCCACCGAATTTGATTGGGAATTACCTGAAGGTTGTGACAAGCTCTAATGTCAAGGATAGTGAGATTTTTGAGCTTTGAAATGGACCTGGGAAGCTCTGTAACTCTGGAGATTCCTTGAAGGCTCAAAAACTGCAGTTGTGTGACATTTTCCAAACCATCCAAAACATTTGCATTTCTTTTCTTCATGGCCGTAATATCCTCAACTTCAATGTGATGTGTGGGCGAGGTCTGCCACCTTCCCAAGTAAAGAACTTTGACATTTTTCATCTTTGAAAACCATTCAGGCTTGAAGGCGAGAATAGTCTCATCAACATTGAACAATGCGTGAAGCGTTCCCAAATCCTGAATTTTTGTTAATCCTCCACGTTTCAAGCATGCCCGGAGAGAATGAGAGTAGTAGTACTCTTCTGCATTACTCTCGTCATCAAAATTGAAGAAGTTAGTCCTTTTGGCAAACTCAATCACCATAGAACGAACAAAAGGGTTCATCTTGCAGATGTTCACTCCAAGTCTAGGATATTTGCACACGGGCTCAATGAAGCCCAGCTCAATAAGTTTGTCGAAGAACTCATTGGCAAACTGCTCTGGTGTCTTTCTACTTCCTCTTCTGTAAAGGGGAGGTGCGAAGCCCTCTCCGATCCACCAGTATATCATGACCCTCTTGTTTATTTCAACATTTTCCGGGAACACTGAAAAGCATAGCAGACAGAGCCTCAACTCCTCCTCGAGCCCATAGTAACGTGTCTCAAATTGTTCAAAGTCCAACCTTTGCTCGATCGCCTCGTTCTTGCTAGCGTTGGCTCCGTTGATGTTTGCCAAATCATTTGACCGTAGATGGAGAGCCGCATCGGACTCATCAGGCTCATCCTTGTGCCTGGAAGAAGAGATCTGCTTCTTCAGTTTCTTTACCATCTTCTTCAATTCCCGGTACTCGTCTGCACTTCCCCTCGCTTCTTCGAGGTTCTTGAACCTCTCACACACCAGTTTGATTTTATGTCCGTACTTGGTGATCCTCTTGGAAGCAGTGGCAATGGAATTCAGATCTGCCTTGATTAATTTAGAAAGCGCCTCAGCCACACTGTGGCTTCTGTTGATGGTGGTGGTGGTGGTGGTGTTGGGTGGTTCGTCGATTTGGGTCGTATTGCTGAAGGAGGAAGTGTGGTTGGTGTCTTCTATCAGAACGATTTCGTTGCAACTGCCAGAGGAAGAAGGGCCATCAGGCGGTGATGAAGCCATATTGGTCGACCTGTTTTGATGAAAAACAGAGGATGAAAAGAAGACAGGTTTTCCGAAGAGAGATCCTAGTTACAGAGAAGATGAACAGAAAGATGAGAGTTTTGGTTATCATTTTTTCTTCCAATCACTCGTTTGGGATGTAGGCGTGGGCTTGGCTTGGGCTGGGTTGGGTTGAGTTGGGATTATTTTAATCATAAAAAAAGATAAAATAAAGTTTTTAGTCTCTTAGTTAAAAGTTATTATATCAATCTATAATTATTTTATTTTTTTTATAAAAATTAAAAAGTTTTAAAAAATTAAATTATAATTATTTTATTTTCTTTTATAAAAATTAAAAAAATTAAAAAATTCATTCTAAACGAGATTATTTTAGCCTAGGCGAACTTGCATCCCTAACGTGGCCTTCTTCTTTGACATTGGCCACGTTGCTTTTATAGGGCCTACAACCATGGGGGAAAATCATTGGCCACGTTGCTTTTATAGGGCCTACAACCATGGGGGAAAATTATAGAATATTATTAGGTTATATTTGTTTGGGTAAATATGAGCTTAAAATTGGACTAATAGTCTAATAAAATTATTAATTCGATATTTAGTTAAACAATTGAAGTACGGACTAACAATCGATCTGGATATGGTATCCCACATATGGTGGACTATTCAATCCCATAGAAGGGGGTGGGATATAAATTGAAAGATTAAACCAAAGTCTGGACTATTAGTCCTCCTTATAATCCTAACTCAATCCAAACATAAGATAGGATACATACTCCAAAGGATTCGTAATTCTAAGACTATTAGTCATGAGAATACTAATCCAACCTAATCCAGTCCGTCCAAACAAACATGGCCTCAGAGTATTATGAATTCGTATTTTTTAACTAATTATTATTTATTATATCTTTTTATGTCTCTCAATTACTAAATATAATATTTTATCTATCCATCTTCTCTATTAATTATAATACTATAAAATATTACATATCTATAATTCAAGATTATTGAATGATTACCCCCAACTGAAATTTTTGGGTGAGGGAAAGGTGGTCATGTGATACATTGAATTTGATTTATGTTGACTATTTTGGAGATGGTAAAGAATAAATAAATTGGTAAAAAGTATCACTTGGCAATGTCATTTGTATCCTTCCCGCATAAAAAAATTCTCCTACCACCACTACAAGAAATAAGGGTTTTTGCGGCGTTTTTTTAGCGACGTTTTTTGAAACGTCATTTTTATTAATATTTAACGACGTTTTAAAAACGTCGCATATTTTTTTAATTAAAACGACACAGTTTTGTAATTGAAGGCGTTTAAAAACGCCTCCAAATGCGGTAGGCCACACGCGCCTATTTTAAATCTGAGAATAAAGCTTTTGTAAGCCCTTAGGCCTTCAGACATAAACCAACATTGAATCCTCACATCGCCTCTCTCTCAACCCTCTCTAAAAACCCTTATTTTGAATCTCACCTTCAAATCTCACAGATTCACTGACTTCGAAGCTCCACCACCACCACCATCTGCACCGGCGAGGTAGCGAGATTCACCGATTCACCGATTTCACAGATTCACCGATTCAAATCTCACAGATTCACCGATTTTAGATCTGTCTGCACTGCCACCGTGATTTCGATTCAGATCGGTTTGCACTGCCACCGCGATTTCAATTCTATCTCTAGATCTCTCTCTCTGAGATTTATCTTTGATTTCATCTCAGAGCGATTTCGATTTCTCTCTCTCTCTCTCTCGATTTCAAAGCTACACCGCCACCACCATCTGCACCAACGAGGTATCGTTTTCTCTCTTGGCACTCACGCTAGTTCCATTTATATTGTTGATTTTCATGGGCAATCGCTTCTTCTTCGTATTTTGTTTTGATTATCAATTTGCTATTTTGTTGATATCATGTGAGTTTCATTCTAATCTAATATTGAATCAACTTCTATCCTCTTTGGTATGCTTTTTTATGTGTCAAAGATTGCAGGGAGCAAAAGCGTTATGGAATGACACCCCTCAAGAAACCTGTGGATCTTCAGAGATTGAATGAATTGGTGTCAATTGGGTAAGTGGAACCAGAATAATGTATTTATTTTCCCAATCTCTGATTATTATTTTTTTCTTTTTCCTTCCTTTTTTCTGAAGTCAATTCTTGTTGTTAACTTTTGTCATGAGTATTATTTTCTCACTAGATGTCACCATTTAGTCTTAGGTCTTCAAAAGTGAAAATAAATATTAAAATATAGAAGACAGAAGGGTGAAATTAATGTAATTACATATGGCTCTGACTCTTGGAATTTTTATTTATATTAAGTTGATTCACTGATTATTTATATTAAGTTGATTCACTGATTATTTATATTAAGTTGATTCACTGATTATTTATATTAAGTTGATTCACTGATTATTTATATTAAGTTGATTCACTGATTATTTATATTAAGTTGATTCACTGATTATTTATATTAAGTTGATTCACTGATTATTTATATTAAGTTGATTCACTGATTATTTATATTAAGTTGATTCACTGATTATTTATATTAAGTTGATTCACTGATTATTTATATTAAGTTGATTCACTGATTATTTATATTAAGTTGATTCACTGATTATTTATATTAAGTTGATTCACTGATTATTTATATTAAGTTGATTCACTGATTATTTATATTAAGTTGATTCACTGATTATTTATATTAAGTTGATTCACTGATTATTTATATTAAGTTGATTCACTGATTATTTATATTAAGTTGATTCACTGATTATTTATATTAAGTTGATTCACTGATTATTTATATTAAGTTGATTCACTGATTATTTATATTAAGTTGATTCACTGATTATTTATATTAAGTTGATTCACTGATTATTTATATTAAGTTGATTCACTGATTATTTATATTAAGTTGATTCACTGATTATTTATATTAAGTTGATTCACTGATTATTTATATTAAGTTGATTCACTGATTATTTATATTAAGTTGATTCACTGATTATTTATATTAAGTTGATTCACTGATTATTTATATTAAGTTGATTCACTGATTATTTATATTAAGTTGATTCACTGATTATTTATATTAAGTTGATTCACTGATTATTTATATTAAGTTGATTCACTGATTATTTATATTAAGTTGATTCACTGATTATTTATATTAAGTTGATTCACTGATTATTTATATTAAGTTGATTCACTGATTATTTATATTAAGTTGATTCACTGATTATTTATATTAAGTTGATTCACTGATTATTTATATTAAGTTGATTCACTGATTATTTATATTAAGTTGATTCACTGATTATTTATATTAAGTTGATTCACTGATTATTTATATTAAGTTGATTCACTGATTATTTATATTAAGTTGATTCACTGATTATTTATATTAAGTTGATTCACTGATTATTTATATTAAGTTGATTCACTGATTATTTATATTAAGTTGATTCACTGATTATTTATATTAAGTTGATTCACTGATTATTTATATTAAGTTGATTCACTGATTATTTATATTAAGTTGATTCACTGATTATTTATATTAAGTTGATTCACTGATTATTTATATTAAGTTGATTCACTGATTATTTATATTAAGTTGATTCACTGATTATTTATATTAAGTTGATTCACTTATGTGCTCTTGATCTATGATATTAGGCTCTTCATCTCAGGCACATTTTTCAAATCAATTAATTCTTTGGTAGGGAAGGTATTATGTTGTGGATACATTGTTTTCTTTATCTTTTGGTTTACGAAGATTTTGTGGTGCTTGATTCCCGATGTGATGTCCATTCTCTTCACTTACGTTGGAGATACTTGAGAGTCTGTCTTCTTTAATAGGTTCACCAAAGCAAATTACCTACTTCTCCATGGGATGGGAGAGCACAGGTAACCTGTCCATCAACTTAGTTTTTCTTTTTTTCATCCTTTTCTTTAAGAGTATGTCCAAATCACTAATTTAATGCAACCACCAATGAGTTAACTGAATAGTCTTTATGATGTTATTGACCATCCATATAAACAGCATTGTTTGGTGCTTTTTGCCTCTTATGTGCTATACAAATTCTTATACCAGTTTCACATTTTACCCTATGCACAAGTCTCCCTTGTGTCTTTATCTCGTTTTTTCATTCATTCCATTCCTATCCCTAATTATTGGGTGTTAGGAGGGGTAGATTGGGTCTGAACTTAAATTTACATGTAACATTACAACCTATTGCTTTTATTGTTGCCCTTTGTAATAATCAATGAGAGCATTAATGCTATTGCTTAATATAGAAACATAAACTGCTTTCATTTAACTTTTCTACGTTTTAGTTTCTACTTTCTAGTCTTCCCCGTCATATTAATGGTAATAAAGATAATCCAAATGCCTAATCATGTCCTTTTTCCTTCACCTCTTCTTTTTTCACTTCTCTGTGATTTTTTGTTTTTTTTACACGTTTATCTAAACTCTATACTAAACCATTGGAACAGCTTAGCTCAGCTAACTCTAATCCTTAAGGTTTGTTGATGTCTATTATTTTTATGTTTCTGTTTGGTCAGAGCGTTTTCATGTGGAAACTCCCATCTTCTGCACAAATATATTGCACCTACATGGTCTTAGCTATGTTTCTAACCATCTTTACGCAATGGGCTTTCAATTTTAGATCTAATTTTTTTGGTGATTTGATGAATGGGAAATATGGGTTGAATTTGAAAAGTATTGACAGTTATTTACTGGATTAGTTAACAACATGGACATTTTTGAAAAGAAAGAAAGAAAAAAAAAGAAAGAAAGTGTAACAATCCTTCAAAACTTTTCTGAGTTGTGTTTTATATAATAGAATAGATGATGATTTTTCAGGTAATCCCGGGAGAGTATGGATTCATTGCACAGCTGAATGAGGGCAGACACCTTAAGAAGAGGCCAACTGAGTTTCGTGTTGATAAGGTCCTGCAGCCCTTTGATGGGAACAAATTCAACTTCACTAAAGTTGGACA